GGTGTGGCATATGCAAATGAGTTGTGCTAATGAGCTCCTGCACCTGTTTTTCTACAAAATGACCCCTATATTACTTACTTAAGTTTTAACTTAGTTTTTAATATTGGCCCTTTATTTGACTTCTTTCTGACCCAAGGTCACACCAGCAGCTGCATGTGGAGGAGGAGTGGGGAATCAAACCCGGTTCTACCAGATCAGAGTCCGGGCTCCTGACCACGACACCAAACTGGCTCTCCCTTTCATATTCCCGGATTTTGGTGAAATGCAAAGTCTGGGGCGGGAGATGCAGAGGGAGGTCACTCCCACCTCCCGCCCTGCCACACAGAGAACCTCCAGTCTGCCTACTGGGACTTGACGTCATGTACCTCCCCGCTGGTGCTGAAGGGAAAAGCTGAAGATCAATTTCCTTACAGTAGGATTACAGGCTTTAGCAGTTCAACAGTAATATGTATCACTTAGGGAAAATAACAGAGGCTGCAAGTCACTGAAGTGACAGGCCTGCGCATGAAACCTCTAATTATGCATTTAATCATTGACTGGGCTTTTTTTATTTCAGCGTGGGGACATAATTTCGAAGCCAGCTCAGCTCATGACCCAAGAGGCCGTTAAACAGCTGTGCAAATAAGAGTGACATTTTTTTTACCAGCTTGCTAATAGAAGTCTTGAATTTTAGTAATAATAGTAATTTATTAAATGCCAAAAGCAGCCTTGCAAATATATTCATAGACATAACGATCCCACTTTCTCTCTCTCACACACACACAAATACACATTTCTGGCCTGTCTATACAAACATACCAGTGTCATTTGCAGCCTAAGAATGGACTAAAAGGAAGAGGGTGGGGGGGTGGGGAGAGAAACAATTACCTTCCGGTTAACAGAAGCTTCCCTGCCTGGTTTCCTGGAAACAGATCTTTAGGCAACACAGGCAGCTGGGCAAGCGCCTCGCCTCTTTTACAAGCCTGGCATAAATGGCAAAATCAGATCTACGACACAAAAGTTTAAAAGGGCCACGACCCCAAGACGAAGTCTTGCCATCAGAATGTAAAGAAAGGAGTGCTGGGGTTTTTTTGTTTTTTCGGAGGCTGGCAATAAGAGACAGGAAGAAGAAGAAGAAGAAGAAGAAGAAGAAGAAGAAGAAGAAGAAGAAGAAGAAGAAGAAGAAGAAGAAGAAGAAGAAGAGAAG